GTTGACCATTTGTCCCCAATCCGAGGTACTGGCCATGCGCTCCAACAGGAAGCTCGACACTGGTGACTCCGGTGAGCAACATGTAAAAATGGTGGGTCTAAACTCAAACAACCTATACCTATTTGTTGGACTCTTTGGTCTGGGGCCAACCAATCAACTTCAGCAGCACCTTCACTTCTTAGATGGGCCATTGCCTAAACGATCATAAATACGAGCACAGCACAGTTGACAGCTCCAAAAAAGATCAAACTTTTGACTAAAAGATGCAGATTTGCAATTGCAGGAAAGGAGAAAATTTAATCAACTGATGCTTTATGTCATGAGACATTAAATGACAGAAAATTAAGCTCTCATTTGCGAACTTTATCGTTACAAAAGAAATGACTGTAACAGTTAGCCCTACACATAAACAAAGTCAAGAGGTAAACAAATTGTCTAAGCAATTTTGGTAGATGACTATTTCAAAGGAGAGGGGAGGGTCCCAAAGACAAAAAGAAAGGAGCCAAGAGCCACAGTCGATAAGAAATAGTAGTTTTCATGGAGAAAGGGCATCACATAAAATGTAACATAGGAAGGAGGAAACGAGGAACAAGCTGAAAACATAAAACTTTAACATTGAGCTTAAGACAAGCTAGCAGGAAGGAAAAAAAATGTCGATGAATCTTCTTTTTTTAGCCTAAAGAATAGAATGTGAAGAAATTTATAGCTAATTAAGCATCTTTAACAGTAGAAGTACAATTTAGAAGAAATGTATTTCACTGACAAAGCAAACAAATCTAACCTTGAGCCAAAAAGAAGGATTTACTGCTAATATAAAATGTATGATGTAGAGAGAAAGCTTTATGTCAGATCAAATGATAATTACTGCTTTCCTAAACGTAAGTAACCACCCCAAACTGTGAAAAAAGAAGGAAAAGGATTTTCCTTTTTTCCTTAGATTAAACATCAGTTGCCATGTAAAGCAAAGAAACCACTTCTAACCCCCAGAAAATCACGCTAAACAATCCAATTCAAACAAAAAACGAAAACTTTAAACAAAATTGAAGAAATCCCAGATGTTGAAACAAAAGGGTGACTCACTTTTGGTGATGGGTGGCTCAGCTTGCCATTGAAACCAAGCTGAGATTCCAGGTCACCATGGTTACGTCCACCATGGGAAGAATTGGGTCTAAGAAAGCGTTCAAAGATGGCCATGACCAAGAACATGGAGATGAGAATGGCAGTAGCAACAAAGCCAAAGGACACCGCATTGACAGAGTTGTCAAAGTGTCTCCAGTGGTCCTCTCTTTGTACATTCAATGGAGCTCCTACCGGTGGCCAACTATAGAAGTACCTTTCTTCTTGTCCCATTGTTTCAGCAATGAAGAAAAAAGAAAGAAAAGAAAAGAAGTTATAGCTCTTACTCAATTCTCATCACGTATCTCTTCACGAGTGAGAGAGGGAGAGAAAGAGAGAAAGGAAGAGTTTTTTTTATAGTGGTAAAGTTATGGCTGTACTTAAAGCTTTTTACACTAAAGAATCAAAGCTTCTTGGAGTACTTAAAACTGGTTAGCAGGCTTGGGGCTTTGCGGAAGAGAGAAAAGAGAGACAGACAGGCAGAGAAAGAGGGAAGCATGTGGGCTATCTCTACATGTAGGTGACCAAGGGGGTGAAAAAGAGAAACTTGGGAATTTGGGGAGGTTTACTATTGTTTACTACTACCACCATTTTCTTTTTGCTTTTTAATTGTTGGTGGAACAAACAAAATTCTGGGTATTAGCGAACTTAAAATTTTCTTTTCTTTGGCTTGAGGCAAATCAAAGAGTTGAAATTGACTTCTCAATCATGTTTCTTCTGCTCCTTTATGTAAATCAAGGTCCAAGACGTGAAAGCTTTGGTCCTTGCTTGAGTTGGACAGGGGGTTTAGAAATTACAGCAGTCAAAGCCTGATGCATCAGCACTCAACATTGCTGTGTGTGGTTAGAAGGTTTCAAGTATGAACTCTGACACTATTGACATGATTTACCATAAACTTTGATCCTTTTCTAATGTATAATAAGTTTACTTTTCACTTTCATTTTTCATTTTACCAAAACTTGGATCATTCAAACCTTTGGAGATCAAATTTTCTCTGTGGATGTGATTTGGTATGCATTAGTAGTTCAGTACTAAAGGCAGTTGAATTGTTATCCACACAAAAAGAAAAGGGCATTTCCATTCTCTCTCTGTCTCTGTCTCTATCTGTTTCTTTTAATTATTATTAATTTATGACAAATTTTCATGTTTAAGAAACAAAATGCTTTGAACAAAATCTTGTTCAATTATGCATTCTTTCTATCCCAATGATTCACTTCTGCACCGCTTCATATAGCCAGTTTCACAATCATGCCTATCATTTTTATCATTTTCTTTAGTCTTGTAATGCAACCTCTTTAATTGGAAAGGAAGATTGCAACAGGATACCCAACATGCAGATTAAACGATGTAAGCTTCCCATCCAGAGTTGCTGAACCAAAAGCATGAAAATGCCCAGCAGACAGAAAGGAAAATAAGTAATCTTTTTCTTTTTCTCCCATTTTCCCCCTTCAACACAGTACACTCTATCAAATGATTATTAAAGGTTTTGTAGACAGACTAAAACACTGAGCCATGTCATGGGCCATTGCCAGCTGCAAAAAATTTTCTCCCTTTTTATCTCTTTTAGTAGTTTGTTTAACTCTGGGGCCAACTCAATAACAACACCTTAGCTTGTTTTCACCTGCTTGATTTAATTGCCTTGATCTTTCAATAAATTACTGGTCTATAACCTCTTTCAAGTCTTCATTACTCAATGCAGGAAAGTGGACAGGAGGGGCATTTGCGAAATTAGCGGAAGATTGACGGGAGAGCTGAAGAATGCGAAAGAGGTCCAAAGCAAGACTTGCAGCGATACGGACAGAAAGAAAGGGAGATAAATAGAGAGAGAGAAAGAGCAACAGATTACAACATGGGAACTGATAAAATCATGAAACAAAAGTACCATCGGTTTGTTTCTTCTTCAACCTTGAAAAGGGCAACTCAGACGGTGGGCTCCCCCACCATGCAGGCTTTTGTGCAATGGTGCTATGATAATGTGGCATCCGACATAGCAGTTTTTGGTGGTCCAACGTGGCATATACACATCATTAGCCCACAGCTCCTTCTTGGTGAATCCTTCTTTATAGTTGAGCTAACCAAAGAGACCAGCAACCAACTCAATTGAAGTAGGAAAGTAACTTCCGCTTGATTTTTAAGATATGAGGCCAATTTAAGAGGCAATGGCCAATTAGCAAATAGCCAGAAACAATGTGAGGGGTGCATGAAATTATTGAGGCATCAGGCAGCATCTGCTAAAACAATCTCGCTGATTAGGGGGGGGAGGTTGGCGGTGGTATCATCACCGAGCACTGTAGGTGGAGGCTCCCTAAATAGTTAGACTAACAATACCGTGAGGACCCATTTACGAACCATTTTCACTAACCCCTCCCACATGCACCATGTCGGGGTATGTGCCCATGTCCCCCCCAACCTACTTGCAGGCTTGAAAACCCAAACCCCCCCACCATGGTCCCCACATGTGCCCTCCTCCCATGTGTCACGTCTACCCTGATCTGCCACATGGCACAACTAGGCCGGTCTTTTTGTCAAAGGAAATTAGTCCTACACGGAAAAAGGATATTAATAAAGGATATTGTTTGCTAACCAAAAGCCTAATTCTCTCTCTTTTTCCCACAACAAAATCCGACACATCAGGCTTCTTCTGTCGGTTTTTTCAGGCTCTAACCAACATGTGAGCATCTAAATTCTCGAGATTGTCCCTTTTTTTAACGGTCTAGATCACTTGTTGCGTTCCATTGTACTTGGCCGTTGATCTTGGTGTTTAGGATGGTCAAAGTCAAACGGGTCCAACTTCGTTAACAGGTATCTCACCCGTGTACTGTGCCATCACACGTGTGATAGCGTGTCCAGGTGTAGAAATTGACCAGGTGAGGGTACGGGTGCATGGGGACTTCTGTGTCAGGTGGTTGTGGGGTCATTGAGTCCGTGGCCTGGGTCATGGGTCATGTTCAAGGAAGGGGTTCATGGTGGCTCGTGCCTTGAGAGCTTGGCGAGGCTGCTGAGCTCATGGCTCACGTGAAAAGGATCTTTTAGGTGCTTTATTGGCCTGATTTTTTGGTGTACCGCTTTCTCTTCTTTTGAGGGAAGAAAAAGCTTTGGGTCATTCGGACATTGACATGATGACTCTATCGGGTTGGGCTCTCTTTCTTTTTTGAGGTTTGCAGGCCTATGGCTAGCTTTCAATTGACCCACCTACCCTTTCTTTGCATTTGCTTCATGAAGAAGATCTTGACTATTTTGGGCTTTTTTTCATTGGAAAATTTGATATGGGCCCTGTTAGAAAGCAGCATCATTTCTTGTTTCAAAATGCGTATAAGAAAACAATTAAGATTAATCTAATTCAGATTATGGTTTTTAACTCTGGGCAAATTTGGTAGAACAGTTAAACAAGGCAAACCAGACATCATCATGACAAGGGAGCCCTTGGCTTCTTTCTAGTTTTGGACAAGCATCACTAAACTGCTGGCATAGAAATTCTTGTCTTCTTTTGGTTTATGTCAATGGAGGATGGCTAGGTTAAGATTGCTTGCAGTCGCTGGAATGCTTAATAGAGTTGGACAACACAACAGTGACTGCACAGCTCTTTCTCGCCTTCTTCCTCCATTGGCGCTAAGCTCCTCCATGCATCGACCGTTGCCGATGTATCAAATATATAGACTGTTGAAAGTGTTCGGGATGATTCACCGGCCATGCGGTACCCTGCCAAGAAATATAGTTGGGTTCCTATCGGTGCCATTGTTAAGTAAAGGCGTTCCATCGGTGGCCAATGCTCATCATTGGTGCCTGAAGATGTGGAGATTTGGAAACAAGATCCATCCACTTCATCCCACATGTTAAGCATCCCATTGTACATCTCAATGTGACCTTTCCAGGGCTTGAGACAATCCCCAGAGCTGAACAGCTTGCCGTCCACCGCGACAATCTGATTAGGTGGCACATCGAGCTGCCACATCCCAGCGACGAGGTCCCACCTCCCCGCTCGGGTGTCGAACACCTCAGCGGAGCTACGCTGCGGAGAAAATGTCAGCATGTTTAGGTCGAATCCCCTCTTTCTGCAAAACCACCCACCACGTAGATTTTCCCTTGCCATGTCACTCCTACACACTTGTATCTCAATGTGCTCATGCTTGCAATGGAGTCCATTCGTCAAGAGCAGGATCATACACCTCCGCCGATGAAATACCTCTAGCACTAGCCAAGTTGGACTTCCCTCCTGCCACATAGATTTTATTGTCACAAACAGCATAAGCAAAATCGAAGCGTGGTATGCCTAATGGTGCACACTTGGACCATTGGTCCGACCGAACATTGTATCGAAGTACTAAAGGTGACACTTCAACACCAACATCGACAAACTCATCGGATTGATCACTACTTGGTGGCCTCTCTTTGTACCATAACCTCCCACCAATAATGTAAATCGATTCTCCTAGAGAAACCATAGCGAAACCCTTTAAGACATGGTTTTCGAGTAGGTCCGGAATCAGGCTGACATGACTCCGTGTGTTGTTAGAGGGATTGTAACACTGTATACAGTTAAAGAAGTTAGCATTAGGCCCTGCCTCTTTAGGACAAAAAGCAACGATGACTCGATAGCGAGAAGGGTTGAACTCAGGTGATGGTGGTGGTGTCGTGGGTCGTGGCGGGGAAGGGAGTGAACCCATTGGAGCAGCAGGGGAAATTTAAGTGATAGGCGGTCTAAGCTGGTTCGTATGGATTGTTTCGATGTCAAACGGGAGATTTGATGTAAAAACTAGAGCAAGATATAGAAAAAAGTTATGGCGGATAACTCAACAAAAATTGTGAGTATGCAAGCATCGACTAAGAATTTGAGCATGGAGGGTGCGTAGCATCCAAGTATGGGAGATAATAACTATGGGATTTTCTTGTTCTTGTTTCTGATCAAACATTTGATTGAATGTTTTTGGTAGGTTATTGTCTGTTGCATTGTTTTGTCATGAGCTGGAAGATCTCCGTAGTTTTCAATGACTCGATGCTGCGAGCCTATGACCAATTGATAACCATCAAATATGGGGCAGGGGGCCATGGTGACTAAGGTTTCTAGGCATCTAAGATTCAAAAGTAATGAGTCAAACCACTTCAACCTTGTTAATCCGTTTTCCAAACCACGACAACATTAATGAATTCAGTCATAGTTTTTAGTGAATAAACAAGAAAATTGCTGTGACAGTAGCAGCGGCGGATAGTTATTGGTTCATCAAGCCAAGATACTAGTTTCTATTTTGTCCATATACTCTCTCTCTCCCTCTTCCATGTCCGCAATTTCGACCACCCGACATGCATTGGGCATAAAGCAGGTATAAAAATACATTAAATATGGTTTTGTTTTCTAAAAAGATGAAGGGAAGGGAAGGGCAGGAAAGGAAAGAAAGAGTTAGCTTTGATATATCCTTAAATTGAAAATTCAACAAAGAACATACATGTAACCACTAGAAAGAGCAAGCATATGCTTTGGAACCCACACTCAATATATAGTAAAAGGAAAAAAAGAGATCTCAAAAAAGGAGTAGGGAGCAAATCCATATGAGATACTGCTGCATGATACAACATCTGGAATCTCACACTTTTGCTCTCATTAAGCCTGGCATAAAACTCTGTTCTAGGCGTTTCAGGGTTTGCTTATCAAGGAATGTCCTTTCCTTCATGCCAATAAAGTGGTTACGATTTCTTCCATTGATGGCATGCTCCTGGGATCCGATCTTATTATCTTTTATATACTAACTCTATATATTTTGCCTGCTTTTTGATCTGTATATGGATTTGAGAAGTGAGAACATTAGGCTTTTGTTTTGACCTTTTTGTTGTTTAAGGCAACAGACAGCAACCATGGCATGTGACTTGTGACAAATCAAACTGCTAATCCAGTTGTGTCAAAGTCAATGGACTGCTCATTCCTGTGCCAATACCTGTTGAACTTGACCTTTTTCTATGCACATTAAAAAAAAGAGAGAGTTTTGTGATTACCATCTTTCTTTTTGGATGAAACTTACTCCTCCAGATGTTATGTAACTTAAACCATTAATCATGAGAATGTATCAGATTTGAACTTGTGGACTTCGACAACGGTCGCAGACGAGTCCTTACCTAGATTCATATCCTGAAAATGAAAATCCTACAAGGGTAAGCACATCCCTAAGAAAAAGCCCATTTACCCCTTAGTTTTGAACTTTGAACTTCTTTTTGTAGCAAGCCTCTACGTATATTTCTCATCACCATGACGCCAATGTATAGGGGTTCTGATTTCTTTGGTGCCATGTGCTTGTAAATGTGCACAACTCCCGAATAAGGTATCAATGAAACAGCAGTTTGGTAGTTTTCAAGTTAATAATTGTGGTTCAACGACTTTCCAGACAGAATGAGATTGAAATGAGGCCAAAATAGTGAAATATCATTTTGAGATGCTCATATATAGCAACAGCGGGCCTAAATACTAGAACAAGTTTGTTGCAGAGAAATCTGCAAAGGGCACATGAGGAACCACCATCAAGATAGAAAGTGAGAGCACAGGTACAAGGAACTCCAGCTAATTTTGAGAGAGATGGGAATCACTGAGCTGACAGCTTAATCTTGACTGAATTGTTTTCTTTTGGCTGTGCATATTATTTACATGGTTTCCAGTGTTGGCTCCCTTAAGGTAAATCTAAAAAACTCCCCTCAATCTAACTCCCCATGAGTCCATTGATAACAAAAAAGGTCTACCAATCACAAATATCCAAAGTTGAACCCACCTGAAGATATGCCATGTGGCATAAACCTGACACTTCAAATCCAAAACAACAATAATGGACCATAACCAGGAAATTGAATACTCCCTAGAGTGTTGGTGCCAAAACTTGGGACAAAGATTGCCCTGTTGGATTAGAATGACCGGTCATCTGACATGGGACCAGCAATTTCCACAGGAGGCAACAGTAGTAAAAGGGAAATAAACAAACACAGGCAAAAGCATTGAATTGAGGGTGGAGTTGTTGAATGAGACAAAAGGGAATTTACTGAGATATATATAAAGCAAGATGGCTTTGGAGATGAAGACAAAAAGAGAGAAGTAGAAGGTGGAGAGGAGGTTATACGCAAAACAGCCACATTGCCTCAAGCTTCTAGGGTCGAGTACACACTCACAAAAAGGGATTACTGTGATTTTGATTGGTCACTGTTGAGTTGCGTGGCTACTTTGGAATTGGTTTTTGGATGCGTTTGGTTTGTAGCTTGATAGCAAAGGAGCTGGACGTTAGACTTTGGGGTCCATTAATAGCCAAGGCCGTTGAGTGATTTTATGAGGTAATAAACCAAGTTGCATTGCATGTGCAAATAATCAGTTACCTTTCAAATAATTAAACTGCCTGCAACACTCTTTAACCACTGACCATTGCAGGGGCAATGAAAGAAATTGTGGTGGAAAGTCATAAAGAAGCTGGATTTGGTAAGGCAGGAAGATTAACTGTACAAGCATATCCTAACTTCATCTTACTATTTGCTCACTCAAACATGAAACAAAAGGAAAGCAAGAAAGGGGTAGGCATGGATTTTCATTTTGTGAATAGAAGAGGATCAAGAGCCATGAATTTTGCTTCCTTTATTGAGGATATTGTTGACCAATAACCAGGTTGTTAAATGAAATCTATATTAACAGCCAAGATGGAATCTGAGTCCGGTAGGTGAGCTTGGAGTTTGGCAATACAAGCAGGCAGAACCTGACAAACGGTCCCCATTTGAATTCAGTGTCCACCATATCTTTGGTCAGGGATACAAAAATATTGACAAAGTAAAAATGTAAGAACTGTTTTTTTTTTTTTTGAAATTTCAATATATTGTAGATAAAAACAGGGTGAGCCTGAGCTCCCCACCATACAGCGATTTTGCAAGGCTATGACCAGGCATACCGTTGCAAAATAATGACAGAATACTAGTATCTCTATACAATGCAAAGACTCTCTCCCTCAAAACCCTTACAGTGAAAATGTAAGAACTTATTAGAAAGAATCTAATAGGTATCAAGCAAAAAAGTTTTTAAGTTTTAAATTTCCATACAAAATGAGAAACCAAACCAGATACTTAAACAGAAATCCAATTTTGAAGATATAACAACTTCTAGTACCACGAAATGTAGTTGTACGTTGTGACCAAGTAGAGTAAATAAACTTGACAGAGATTAAAAGATTGGTGAACAAAGTTGTTGGGGACTGAGGGTTGCGGAGAGTAGTTGAATAAAAGATGCCTCTCCATGGAAAACAACGTATCTGATGGTGATACTACGACCCTAGGGGAGGCTCTCTGCCCAGTGCTGCATCCATTTTTTTTTTTGTTTTCTATATCTCTCTCACTTTTGAATGGAATTTTAGCATCCCAATGTAATTCCAAGGAAAAAAGCAGCGTTGCTGTTGAGACTGCAAGTGAAGCTGCGCAGCTTCTTTGAAAGACCAAAAAGATCTACACTTTGCAGCATGCAGTCTGTAGTCAGCACTACTTTCATTTTCCTTTTTCCTCTTTTTCCTTTTCTGTTTATCTCCACTCTCCCTATTCAAAAGCATTTTTAGTTCTTTCTTTCTTGTCTTTTATTCTTCCTTTCGCTCTTCTGCATCATAACTGGATTGAGAAACCATTCTGCTTCTCCTTCCCCTTTTTAAAGGCATCCTCCTCTCTTGGTCATTCTTCTCATTTGTCTATACATTTTAGCCTAAAGGGCCGTTGAGTTTTGCTTCCATTAAGAGAAAAAACAAAAGATTGGGAGCATATATGGATTTCATGGGAAGGTTGGAATGGGTGAATAGTTATGGTAAGAAGCAATGCAGAAGTCTTTTTTGGAGAGTCAAGGCAGCATTGAAGAAAGCTGTGAAGAGTAGGAGCAAACAGCAGTTCAAGTTCCAGTATGATCCTTCCAGCTATGCTCTCAACTTTGATGATGGTTGTTGCCATTCGGGTGCAGGAGCAAATACAATCGAACCTGCTCGATTTCAGGATTGTTCAGAGTGCAAAAAGATCATGTGGGTTTATGTTCTTTGGGTCAAATCGTAAATGAAATCTTTTGGTCTTTATGTTCTTTCTTTGTTAAAGCTTGTAGCTATGCTTTTCGCTGGGTTGGTGGACATTAGACAAGTAGTTTGAGCGAAACGATGGCTCTTTCAATAATTTACACTATTTTCGTCCATCTTTTCTTGTTCTTTTGCATCCTTCTATGGCAAAATTTTCGTCCGTCTTTCAACTCAATTTTGTGGTAACAAATTCACATGCAAGGCACAACCAGAGATGGACATGTTGATTTCCATTAGCCTTTCTTCGAATATGGGCAGAATTAGAAAGGGCGGCAGCTCCAATAAACATAGGAATAAGAGCACAGCTTTGAGCTTTTCTATTTTTGGCTTTAAATTGTCAAATGGAATCCCCATTAAGGGGATAAGTGCATGATATGAATTGTACAAAGGCTTAAGGGCACTGACTTCACCTAAGAACAAAGTAAACACCAACCAAAGGCAACTAAATTCTTCTAAAACCGAAATAAACACCAACCACATCTTAACAAATGACATCCAACAAATCCCTAGCTAGTCACTTGAAGAGATTACAAGCATGATAACTTCATTCCGTTCAGCTCTAGCTCCGGACAATCCAAGGAAACTTGATTCCTCCACACTGAAACCTTTCAAAC